AAATATTGGGTTGGCCAAAAAGTTCGTTCAGGTTTTTCGGTAGGTTGTTGCAGAAGAACCTGATTGGTTTCTGGCCAGCCCAATAGTCCCAAATGACCCATAGCATTGGAAACAGTTTGAATGGCAAGGGCAAAGGCTGAGGTGCTTGGTGGTGGTTTTATTATCAAATGTCTTCCTTCTCCAAAATGTTTTCTCTATTGCCCCTTCTTCTGGAACTTAAAATACCCTTTGTAAGAAAGCCAGTGTTTAGAAGGGTTGTCGTTACATTTCTAGGAACTATTCAATTCAACCAAGTTCAATTACATTAACTTTTATTGGCTAATAGGAATAAGCCACTAAGATACTCATTGTAATACATGTCACCCTTGTACTGAGTAAAGGAGAACAATTAATTTTTGATAAAATAAGGTATATGAAAAAAAAAGTGCATGAAAAGCCAAATCTGTTCTTCACACCGCTATTGAAATTCTCCCAGAATACAGAGCTGATCATGTGACAGCCACAACTCAAATGCTCTGGATGACTCTATCTGCTGCAGAATAAATATCAGTCCCTTAATGCGAAAGATTATTCTGCCTTATTCAAGCAAGAATGCCCCCTGCCCTGTCCTCACTTCACTCCGACTCTCCCATTTAACGAAGCAAATTCTCTAAAACATTTTAACCATCACGAGAGCCTTGAGACCATACCAATTGATTGGATATCCCTTCTTTAAAAATCTGAAAGAGTTCATAAAATCAAAGGGTTTTCCAAAGGGATTTCTTGTGGAATTTCTAAGCAAAAATATAACGGCTGGTCTCTAATGAAGTTACTTGGACTCCCCTGGTGGTCCAGCGGTCAAGACTTCACTTTCCATTGCAAGCGTGGTTTGTGTTCAATCCCTGACCAGGGAGCTAAGATTCTTCATGCCATGTGACCAAAAAAACCGAAACATGAAACGGAAGCAATTTGTAATGAGTTCAATAAAGGCTTGGAAAATAGTCCACGTCAAAAGCAATTTTTAATAAATAAATGAAAATGCTGAACAGTGTATTGACGAGCATCTGCTGAAACAAAGCATGTTCGTTACTAAGGTGGCCCCCGGGGCTCTCATGCAGCGGTGCCAACTGCCCCCTCCCCAGCCAGCATCCTCCGTGTACATGGTCACTGCTCTTTGCGTCTCGTCCTTGTCTGCCGTTCACGTCTTGAAACTCAGCTATGTCCCTGTGAGGTTTGCCAGCCCCTTGCTGAAATGTGCCAGTTCAGTGACTGTGTTCAGACGGTTTCATCTGCAGTTTCTCAGACCTCTGTTCTCAAAATTCAGGCTTTCTGCCTCAACTACAGAGGATTCATCAACAACCATGAATATGCCTCTATAATCTGCCCCCCCCCCTTTTTCTTTTAATTGTTCTTGACTCTGGACAGACCCCAGGAGGCACGGACACAGCAGGCTCTGCCTTACAGGAGCCTGGAATGATGGACTTGACTGAGACTTTGCTGTTTGATCATTTCATAACCACGGCACATGGGCTGCATGAACAGACCTTCAGAGCCCTTCAGTACTTGACTCCTCCTGCTTTTCCATCTGAACCCGTTACCTCCCTCTTCATCCAGCTGCCCTTGGGCATATCACGTGATCATCTTGCTGTCACATTTATATCTATAATGATAGCTGCTTATTGAGGGCTTATAAAGGCGACATGGGTAGATTTAGACTGTGGTTTAAGTGTTGGCTGTATCACCTAAGAGATGGTGAAGGACAGGGAAGCCTGGCGTGCTGCGGTCCGTGGGGTCACAGAGAGTCAGGCACGGCTGAGTGACTAAACAACAAATCTAAGACCCTGGTGACTTTGGGCAAGTCTTTCTAAGCTTCTAGTTTCATCTTTTAGACATTGCATCTCCTAGGTGTGAAAAGAAATAACAATTCCCTCATGGTATTGGGATGCATATACAGGTATAGGAGTGAGACTGTCAGTTCCTCGGCCGTGTCCGGCTCTTTGTGACCCCAGGGACTGTAGCCCGCCAGGCTCCTCTGTGTATGGGATTCTCCAGGCAAGAATACTGGAGTGGGTAGCCATTCCCTTCTTCAGGGGATCTTCCTGACTCAGGGATCGAACCGGTCTCTCGCGTTGCAGGCGGGTTCTTTACCATCTGAGCCCCCAGGGAAGCCCCTGGTGATACAGGTACAGCTATCTAGATACAGGTATGGGATAGGTATTGCTATATGATTGCTCATCACTTCCCTTCATATTTAGGGTCTGCTTTTCCTGTTTCTTCCTTTTTCTGGAGTGCTGTCTGCCTCGATCCTCCACCTGTCAAAATCCTACTCATATTTCAAAGTTCAGCTAAAAGGCCACCTTTTCTAGGAAGCCTTCTCAAATCTTGCAAGTCAATTTCCCATGGGTTTCCCCAGTTCCTTTTTATAGGCTTTGTAACCCATTTTCCAGTGGTCATGTGTGGATCTGAGAGTTGGACCATAAAGAAAGCTGAGTGCCAAAGGATTGACGCTTTTGAACTGTGGTGTTGGAGAAGACTCTTGAGAGTCCCTTGGACTGCAAGGAGATCCAACCAGTCCATCCTAAAGATCAGTCCTGGGTGTTCATTGGAAGGACTGATGCTGAAGCTGAGACTCCAGTACTTTGGCCACCTGATGCGAAGACTTGACTCACTGGAAAAGACCCTGATGCTGGGAAAGATTGAGGGCAGGAGGAGAAGGGGACGACAGAGGATGGGATGGTTGGATGGCATCAGCAACTCAATAGACATGAGTTTGAGCAAGCTCTGGGAGATGGTGAAGGACAGGGAGGCCTGGCGTGCTGCGGTCCATGGGGTCCTGAGTCGGACACGGCTGGGCAACTGAACCACAGGGAGGGACGGAGAGCTGCGTAAGATGGCTGCACGTTCAGTGCTACCAGGCAGATTAACGAGACGCGCTGAGTGCGGCAGGGCCATCAGTTACATTCCCAGGCCTTTCAGGGTGAGGCCTGAGTGCACAGAATCCTTCCATCGCAGCCAGTGTCTGTGGGGGTTATCTGCAGCCCAAGGTCACACTGTGTCCTTGCTCGTGGAACAACTTCACCTCCCTCTGGGGCTATGTTGGAGCCCACATGGACGTGGCACTGAGCCAGTGTTCTAAGCAGCCGGACAGTCCAGCCGGAAGTTGGGCCCAAGAAGATCTGTGAGTGGATGGCATGCATCTGCCGTTGGGATCATCACTGGCAACACGGTGACCTCGGAAGACGGCTCCTTTGAAAGGCTTTGCTTTGGCAGGCGTCAACAGTCCTGCTCTCGTACCACCACAGGCAGCAGAACAGGAAGGGAGAAAATGAGAGACCCCAGAGAGCAACGCTCGCTGCAGATGAGCAAAACTCAGACGTCCCATAGGCTCTGAGCGCTTACCGGACATCACTCACATGCTGAGCGCTGGCCTCGACCTCAGCCTCAGGGACACAAGGGCCAGCCGGTCAGACCCTGGCCCCCGCCCCAGAGGGCCGACGGTCTACTGGGGGCAAACAAGTGTTAACTCATACTTGCGTAAATGACTGCTTCCCTGAGTAAGTGCTCTGAAGGAAAAGCATTGGATCGGGAAAGCATATAGAAGTTAGGGTCAAGGTCACCTGAGGCGTTACAAAACACTTCCTTGAGGCAAGAAACAGCCGGGCGGAGGGAGTCGGGTGGAGAAGTTCCTAAACTTTCAGGCAGGGACAGGATGGGAAAAAAGCTGGCTGTGACTGCTGTGGCTCCGTCATTATACTAAGTCTAGATACCCTGGAGAAACGGGTTCAGTTCAGTACAGTCACTCAGTCTTGTCCGGCTCTTTGCAACCCCATGGACCGCAGCACGCCAGGCTTCCCTGTCCTTCACCATCTCCCAGAGCTTGCTCAAACTCATGTCCATCAAGTCGGTGATGCCATCCAGCCATCTCATCCTCTGTCGTCCCCTTCTCCTCCTGCCTTCAATCTTTCCCAGCATCGGGGTCTCTTTTCTCATCAGGTGGCCAGAGTACTGCAGCTTCAGTTTCAGCATCAGTCTTTCCAATGAATGTGTTTGTTGGTTAATAAGCGCTTGTTGTAAGGGCCCCTGGATCAGTAGGTGAGTGGTCGTGAAGGGAGAAGGGGTTAGGCAGAGACACCCCGCCCCCCGCAGTCGGCGTGAAACCCCCAAAGGGGCCGCAGCGAGGGGGAGGGCAGAGAGCAAAGGTGCGGCCAGAGGAGACCGCTTCGGCCTGACCGCTGTGTTTTGTCTGTCTTTTCTGCCTCATTCCGCTTGTGCCCCTGACGAAAATGAAGGAAGCAGTAGATCTCTGCCTTACAGGGCTTCCACCAAAATCCATACTTACTGTTCGCAAATTATTTCCTTTCTACTTAGGTACAGATCTTACGGAGAAAAGAAAGGAGAGAGGAGAGAAACGGTCTCAGACATGTGTGGGTGGGCGGAGGCGTTACCATGGAGAAGCCAGGTTTGTGGACCTGGCAAAGGCCACTCCATCCTTCCAAATATCAAGTAAGGAGGCTTGTTGTCTGCCGATGGAGCCACACATTTTTTTATGGAGGCTGAATATTTCAAAAATACATTTGTCTAGAGTGGTGGCTGTTTTTTTAGTTTTCTGTTTGCATACGGAGTCATTCTATTCTAGCAGACAGAGTTTGCCACCATTATGCAATAAGTCTTTCACTTCTTCAGAAACACAGCGTCTATTTTTACAGTTCCCACTCTCTGGCTGAATGTTAGAAGTCCCAGAAGGCATGTGCAGAGACAGGGTTTGTGTGCCCGCCTCGCTGCCGCTCAGGGCTTCCTGTGGTGCTTCCTTCTTCCTGGTTTTGCACGTAGAAGGTTATTTAGCTTCTACTTGACTGGCATTTCCCAATTAGAACATGACTTTTGTCTCATTAAGGTGGGCATTCTTTAGGGCTGAATGTATGATGGTTTGGATCTCTATACAGTAGAAAAAGAGAAGCTCCCTCTTCCATCCTTTTTTTTCTGTACATGTTGAAATGAAGCTTTTTTTCTGCTGGTTGCAGCCTTTGCCCTCCATGAGATGCTGTCGAAGACAGATTCAGAAGCCCAGCCTCCTTCTGGAAAACAGACCATAAAGTAAGTCTTTGACATCAAGTGTATTGGAATGACCATGTTGTGTTTCTTAAACCGCCTTGAGAAAGGGGAGAACTGAGATTCACATAATGAAATCTGAGTCCTGTGTGGCCTTGGCCATCCTTCAGATTTACTGAGGGTGCTTACGCCTTCATCTGCACCTTATGGTTTCAAATCTGAAAGAGAGGTACTGAATTTCAAGGTAGGTGATGATCTGACATCAATTCTCAGGTGCAGCAGTGTTCTTTCTCATGGTGGGGCTGGAGGTAGGACTCATTACTGGATGCAGGACTAATTTTGTGCTTCTCACAAAATTCTGTAGAACCTTCTCAAACAGTGTCCTAATCTCATCCACCAAGGGAAGGAGGTTTAAGGGAAATAGAGATTATGCTTCATACTTGGGTGTACTGCTCATGGTTTTAAACATTTGGGCGTGTCACCCTCTCCTCCTAGGCCATACTGGCACTTCATGATGCGTTTCCGCAACATTCTAATAACAACAGAATGGGAAAGACTAGAGATCTCTTCAAGAAAATTAGAGATACCAAGGGAACATTTCATGCAAAAATGGGCTCAGTAAAGGACAGAAATGGTAGGGACCTAACAGAAGCAGAAGATATTAAGAAGAGGTGGCAAGAATACACAGAAGAACTGTACAAAAAAGATCTTCACGACCCAGATAATCACAATGGTGTGATCACTCACCTAGAGCCAGACATCCTG